TGTTGATACTTATTTAACGAAATATAAATAATCGCGTGTCTGTTTCTAGGCACAGGCATTCGTTTATAGGGAATAATTTCGAAAAAGTCACGCGAAATGAAAGCAACCTTGCCAGATATCAAACGAGCGTCGCATTGGATCAAATGGAATGTAATTCGTCGATCGATTCTACTATGAACAGCCTTGATACGAAACGATCGGGATCCGAAGAAATGATAAATCCCGACATTTGCACGGATAACGATAATTCATCGGGCGTGAACATCGCGTCAGATTACGATCAAAGCCCGGAAAACAAATTTATGCAAAAGGTAGTAACGAATCTATCTCGTTCGCAATCTATTTTCATTGTCTTGCTCACCTTTTTTTGCACTTGTCACTTGTTGCAGCAAGCATTTAGCAATGGACGAACGTTTGCTTCATTTCAGGTGGTGGACGCTAGAGTTCCAATGCAACAATCGAATCGAGATTTGCCGGGTGTGTTGGACAAAGTGAGAAATACGGAACACGATCCGATATTAGGCGACGATAGTCTGTACTTGAGGAACAGCCCGATACTACACGAAACGGTAGTGTTCAACACGGAGCCTACTCAGCAACAATACTTGTCGAGTATCGATGCCCAATCGAACGAGGACATGTCGTCTTTGATTCACAACGATCTGATCGACAACGATCAAAACATGGACGACGATTGCGTGAAATGGGGAGATGACAGGACGTCGGAGAACTCGGTGGGAGGCAAGAGTTTGCCGGCCGAGAGTTCGCCGATGCAACAGTCATACGCCAAAGACTCGGAGAGCAGCGAATCGATCGATTCCGTGGAACAGTCTGAACACGCGCTTCTGGAACTCTGCATACAGCCTGGATTGACGAAGGCCATGGACGACATTCAGCTAACTAACGCATCGGCGAGTCGACGAGTCGACGATGAGTTCAGAGAGCGACAGATCGGTAGTTCGAACGACGGCAAAAGAGCGTACAACGACACGTGCGAGGTGGACGGGGTTATTAGGAAAGAGGAAGCCGAGTCGAAGTACAAGCAGAAGCCGGCAGACTCGACGAAACACGTGGAGAAGGAGGACGTGTACCGGCGTCAAAGAGACCCGGACGCGATGATCGCCTCGTTGGATCGATTGACCGCGACTCTCGTGCAACAGACGGAAGCGATTCGCGAACGAGATTCGAGCACGATGAAACAGAGCATACTGAGTGACACGTGGAACGAGGACTCTCCGAACGACGTCTCTTTCCCAAGTATCAGTATCAGCGCGCCGATTATCGCCTCGTTCAAGAGCGACGTGCCAGAGGAGCCGGGGACGATCACCATCTCGGAGTGTTACGAAACAGCGAGCAGCGAAAGCGGCCACATGACCAACTCGAAGATCATTCAAAGGGAGGCGATCAAACTGGCCGAGGCGGTGGACGCGGAGATACGCGCGAACAGGCAGAACGAGCTGGACGCGACTAGCATAACGTCCATGGATCTAGAAGCGATCAAGCCTCCATCCTCGATGGGAAGCTTGCTGTCGTTGACAGCCAGCTACGCGGGCTCCGGCGACTGCAGCGAGTCGTTCGTCAATCGAGACAGGTGCAATTCCGCGTCGTTGCCTCCGGCTCAGCTGAAGAATCAGGTGTCATCGTCGGAGTCTCGAAGTTGCCGCAAGAAATCCCTGCCTCTGGGCGTCGTGGCTAAGAGGGCTCTGAGCCAAGCTCAGAGCCACGCTGGCAGCTTGGAGAATTTGTTGAACGAGTGTACCGGCTCGCACTTGGAAAGCGTGAAACCACCGTCGATGATGGACGAACTGCCGGACGTCGGCGACATGGAGAACAGCATGCTGAGCGTGGCGAGCATCACGTCAGAAGTGGCCGACTCCAAGTATCAGGACACGCAGAACTTGAGCGGAAGCGACGCCGTCTTCGACTTGCTGAAACCTGTCGCCAACGTGTTGTCCATCACGTGCATGCGTTACGCCGAGGCTATAAGAGATAACAACAGCGCGAACAACAGTATGAGCGAATGCCTGGAGAACATCAATCCGCCCTCGTTGTTCAACGAGGTGTGCGAGATGGACGAGTCGACGATGGAACAAGCCACGGAGACGATATGCAGTGACACGTTGTGCATCGACGCTGAACTACACACCGAGGAAGCTCCTCCTCCGCATGCTGTCCTCGCGACGATAGACAGGATCGACGAGGCAGGCGACACCGACGAGGCAGTTACTCCGATCTCGTCGGAGTACTGCGTCACTAGCTCGGCGGAGTCCACGCCGAGGAAACGATTGCACAGAAATCTAACGCCGAAGCAGAAGAGAACCATGGCGAAGGAAAGATACAAGACGTACACTATAGCTGCGGAGCTCGACGAGAAGAAGGGAGAGGAACAACGTAGAGAGAACAACGTCGTGGAGGAGAAGATCGCGCGAGGCAAGATCTCGCCTTTCTCCAAGCTAACGCCTAAACAACGTAGACAGGAAGACCGAGCCAGATTCCAAACACAGGTGTTGGAAAATCCCTTCCCCGATATGAATCACGATCGAGGTAATCGACAGGATGTTAACGCTGCCTGCGAGCAAGAGGATGCCGAGAAGCCGGCCGGAACGATGTCGTCGTCCCCGGTGAAATCTGCCATTCCCACGTTGACAAAATTGTCCGCGTGCAAAACGTTGATCAAGAAACGCGCCGAGCAGAAGAAGAACAGGGACAGGTATCGCACGAGAACGTTGAACGACTCGGAACGCATATTCGGAGATTCGGCGGAGGGCAATTGCGCGGCGGACTCGACATCGCGCAACATCGAGTCCGATGAAATTCAAACGATGCTGGAGCAGAATGCGACCATCGTGTTGAACACGTTGAACGAATCGAACAAGGCGAGCGAAACCGGCGAGGACGGGTTGCTCGACTGCGAGACCATTAGCTTAGTCTCGAACGAGTCAGAGTCAGAACGGAACTTACGAATGCGGTTCGTCAACGGCGTTTCCAAAAAGCTGATAGGCTCGTGCGCTCAGCAGACGAACGGTGTGCAAGAAGCAGAGGGAGACGTCCACAAGGAGACGTCCACAGAGATGGAGGAGGAGATCAGGTACAACAACGACAACGTGGTGGAAACTGAGAGCGAGGACGAGTCGAATAACACCGAAGGGGGGCCGCCCAGAGAAACGAAGAGGCCGCGAATAATCAAGCCAGGAATGGTGAGGGATCCCAGCAACGATTCCAACGCCACGGACAAGTCAGACCCGGAGAGTCCAAAGGCTATTCGAGGCAGAAGGAAAGCCCTCTACTCGAACCCGATTACGCGAAAGCCGACGCCACAGTCGTCGCCGTTGAAACAGGTGAACCCGGTCAGTGGAATACCTATAGGTCGTAGCAACACCTCGCCCATCGTCAGAGCAACCAGAGCTACCACGCTCAGGCAAAGTAACAACAACACCAACAGCCCGAGCGTCGGAACGAAAGAGCCAGCAAAGTCAAACGCGAGCTTCAAGACGACTCTTAGCTCGACGGATGACAAGAGGACGAAGATATCGAAAAGAGCGTCGGTCCCTCAGAAGGGATCGTCGTTGACCTTCACGAAAACGGTGAAAAGACACAGCACACCTCCGACCTGCACCTCCTCCTCCTCCTCCTCCTCGAATTACCAGCAAGAGACAAAGACAGACGTGACGGCGAAGCCGTCGTTGGAACGACAAGGCACGTTCACCAAAGACGAGCCAGAAGTGGAGAACGCGCCCACCGTGGTGTCCTCGTCCTCATCGCCGATCAAAACGAAAATCGCAAAGCCGATCAGAGGCGCGACGTCCAAGGTTCATCCAACGACCGGCAAGCCGAAGATCTCGCCGAAGACTCACCAGGCGCACCAATCAAAATCATCGAAGGCCAATGCTGCTCCTTCAGAGAAGATTCAGCCTTCGAAGGCGTCGCCGCCGCCGTTGCTCGTCGCTCCGAAGCGACTGCCCACGGGAAAGGTGACCACGGCAACACCGAAAATATCAACGGCCAACAACAATCAGAACGCCGCGCAAGCGGAAAGCGGCAAACTGTTTCGAAAGGTAGGTCCCCTCGGTCAGAGATCCAACAGCAACTCCAGCATCGTGTCCAATTCGTCGACGGGCATGCAGACGAGAAAGTTGGCGAAAGAAGCGACCAGTAAAATCGCAAGCCTGTGGAAGAAGGTGGAGGAGAGCAAGAACAGGCAACGTTTCGAGAAACCAGACACCAGGCAGTGGTTACAGCCAGGCAATTGTGCCAACGACGTGGACGCTCCTCCGTCTGCCGCGACCGATCTCCGTTTCAGATTGTTTCGCAGCTCGACGTTCGAAGGCATGCCCCAGGAGGGGCACGACGATCCCGAGTCGGCTCTGTACAAATCGAAGTTGAAGAGGCCGTTGGTAATAGGCGTGCAACCTAGTAGCAAAGTGAAATACAGAAACTCGTGCGACTTGAGCGGAATGAACGCGAACGACGCACCTTGCAAGATCCCTGTGAAGGCGTCTGGCGAGGCGTCGTCGCAGCACAAGAGAGACGCCGTGGACCTGGCTGATGACACCTCGGTCGTCCTGCGAAAATCACAGCACACCGAGCCTTGCGCCACAGACGTGGTGGTGGACCCCACGAAACGAATATCACGCCTTGGTTCCTTCATAAGAGTGGTGGACCCTGCGAACGCAGAGGCGGCTTCCGTTAATGGGGCCGCTGTGCGCACACCCGCGTCCGCCATTGTGCCGCCCTTCAATTACAACCCGAAGCAAGATATCCCTTCGCAGATAGCCAAAGTAACGCCGGACGAAACCGAAAGCAAATTCAAAGTGACGACCGATTGTCACAGCGACATAGTCACAGGTTCTACGAGAGTAACGACCGTATAGGGAGAGCCTGTTTTATCAAGTAAACAGCTATTCCTTTCGTAGTATCGCTTTTCTGTTTCAGGCTAGTCATTGTACATTTGCTTTTACTGCCCGTGCGCGGTACACGTATTACACGAGTACTCGATAACTAAGTTAAAAAACGTCTCTTTCATACCTCATGCATCGTTTCAAGGACACGGAAAATCTTCACGGTCATCCCGTTAATTTTTACACACTGGAGACAGGAAGAGTATCTTATAATCATATATTTGAGTATCTTTTTTTTTTCTTTTTTTTTTTTTTTTTTTTTTTTTTTTT